AGCTGTAAGGCCGAAGCAGGTGATGAATAAAGAGACGGATACATGGTGGCTAAAGCTTAAAGGGTTTCAGATAAGGGCGAGTTGGTGGCTAATCTTCGATACCACATCCATGACACTTGTCATAATCATAGCAGTGTTTTTCATCTTTAAGCTCACTTTACTGACATTTTCTAAAGTATGTAGACTTTGAAAGTGGGAGGAGCCTTTTTGGGTGCCACTGGTCAGGGCTGGACAATACGTTTACATTTAAAATCTGTTCAAAGTAGATATTTGATAGTGATACGGTTTATTGTTGCAATCTAAAACCTTTTTTTCTTTAAAGCTGCATCAGTGCAGTCCACTGCAGTCCCAGTGGCCCCACTAGCTCACAAATACGCCTGCAACACAGAGAGAGACACAGTGCCCCATTTAAACAGTTTGAGCCCTAAACCTTTCTTACAATTATCCCATGAAGGAATACGCAGTGGGGTCTGACTTGAGTGAGTTTTCACAAAGTCCAGTAAAGTGTTCAGTTGTCTAACAAAGATACTCATTGCCTAAAATAAATGGTGTTTTTCCAGCCTGGCGAACTCTGTTGATTCAGTCGCTCTTATTTTGTTCTGCTCAGAAAAATCAGATCTGAGCATCGTCTTAAGCTGCCCATTCTCTCAATATTGGTTCAGATGAGAAATCTTCTTATGGCTTTAATGCAGGATCATATTTGGTCCATATTGCTTAGTCTTACAGTACCATTGGTCTATTTTCTTTAGCGATGGTAGCTGTAGATCAATGGTATTGTAGTATTTTGTTTTTCTAAGCCAGACAGAACATGATTCTGCAGAAACCATATTGTAATGACTGAAACCTGCGGCTACAGTTAAAAAGCTGTAGCATTGCTACAATATAATAGAGTCTTGCAGGAGCAGAGGAAAAATAATTGCAAAATCAAAAATGGTCCTTTCCACTTAGCAATTTTATCGCTACTTGGTGATTTGTAGATGTATTTTCACTCATCACGCAGCCTTGCATTATGTTCCCAGAGTGGCTTGTTGATGTAATGTGTGTAGGAAGTCAAAGACGGGTCAGTGTATAGAGTACAGTATACGTGATTGGAAGTAAATGAGTTAAAACGAGCAGAATTAGCAGCAGCATCCTTCAAGGGCAGTGATGTCTTTCCCTCAACTGCCACACCTGGTTATTATGGCCATTAGGTCTAAATTGGCTGTTCATGTGACTTGAATTAAAATGATACTGTTGAAGACCAGATGGGAACAAAGCAGGTGGAGGCCTTCTGCTCAGGAGGTGTTGATACCTATTTATCTGGAGAGCACTCTTTTCACTCCACTAAGGCTGCGATCAATGATAACTGTAAATCAGAGGAATATAGGCTCTGTTGCAGGCTATTGTGGGCCCACACTGGTGAATGGGTTAAGTATGCATAATGGGACGCATCACTTCAGGGATATTTGTCTAATTGCCAGTCAGGGTCATATCTTAAAGTATTTTTGCTGTTGTCATGATGAAAGCTAGTGTCCCTTCATATTTTCTGGATGAAGGATTCATCAAATGCATTTACTGAGCGTGTACAGGTGTACTTGTTGTTGTACAAAATGAAGCTGATTACTTCCTGCTTATAGCCTCCATGTTCTGAATACAGACCACAATATTTTTTTTTTTGTCCGCTATCTTTCTTCCGACCTTTGAAGTCCAAAGTTTGTAATCTTAAGAACTGTGGTTTCTTAATTGAGCTGTTCTGCCACCCTCACTCTATGCATGCATGACTCGCTGCCCCTCTTTTTTAGAAGGAAAAGAAATCCCTTTGAGTCTTAGATTCAAAATAATAAGTCATTGTCATTCTAAATTTCTGATCTCTTCCCCCTGCCGACCTGTGCATGCCATTGAGCACATCATGTAGCCACATCTTTAATTTCTGTCACTTTTTTTTGTTTTTACTAAACACTGTCGTGATGGAACTGGGGTCCTAATATGGACCCTTGCAAGGCTAGTCTAGAGGTAAGTTTAATTTTATGTCTGTGGTAGCCCATGTGTTTTTCTGTGAGTGTGGATGGGGATATTTTCTGGTGGTGGCTCTTTTATGATACTTGCAGAGCTATTGTCCATATAATTTTGCACCCATGTACTTATTTGCTTTGCTAGATTAGAATCAATACGCCATAGCATTGTTTTAGGTAGATGTTAGCTTTCCTTATGTGTTAGATTTACATTAGCATAAAAAGCACATGCATTGTAAAAGAACAGGAGCAAGACCCATCTCTGAGTATGGATGCTTAAAATGCATGTTAAAAACAATCCCTCTTTTCTGTTTATGCAAACATTGAATCTTTTCAGTTCGGGTTGAATTGCTGGTGCTTTTGCATTTTTACAAATGTAGGCTGCTGCATGCTGATTGGTACCTGCAACTCGATTCACCTATTTTAACATGGGCCGTTAATGCATGTTATATTAATGAAAATATCACAGGCATGTTTCCGACCCTTTTCGCCTCTTTCCCAACACATTCACATAAATGCTTCTGCGAACAGGAATAATTAAACAGTGGGCTCTTCTTGAATTACTTAGTCCCCCATGCATGTCTACCCTAAGAAAAATCTAGGTGTTTAACACTGAAGGACACCACTGGAGGTCAGTGTAATTGACTAGAATGGATCCATAGCTTGTTGCAGACTGAAAGATGACTGATCTGTAAAGCTCCTCATAGCACAGGATGATGTTTTGTACTCATTTCCAGTTATGGTTCTGTGTTAATTCCTACTTTGCATTTTTCATAAATACTTAATGAGTTTTGCTGTGGCAGTAGTGGTAGTTGTGTTTAATATAGAAATA